GAGGCTTCTGGGACTCACTGCGAGTCTCACATTGACGTCAGCAAGTGCAAATGTAAATCTCAGCTGGCTCTGATAAATGGTGCTGCTAATTGAATTAGCACTCCAAGCCACCAGCTAATTATGCTCCTCAGGAAGCCGCTTTGCCAAGGTCCATTTAATTCTATATTGGCTGAGCACTCCGAATCTGGCACAGAAAAGGGGAAATATATTACAGCTCCCCACTGAGGAGCACATATTTTCCAGCTCTTTAGGCTGAGCCGTCTGCTTGCTACAAACGCTTGGGTTTTCCATAAAAAAATACTCTTAGTGCAAAATTAATGAGTTGGTCACCTTGTTCTAGCATATCATTACCCTGGTTTGATAAGAGACTGTCTCATTCCCCTTAATGGTGCTTTCCTCCGTGTTGCATGAAATGTTTTCCCTATGTGTTTCACAAGTTGCTAAATTACTTCTTAGGTGCATGGTTGAGACAAAATTTATCACCTGGAGGAAGTGCAGCCGTTAATGGGTCTTCAGAGAGCTCTGATCATGAGCTTCCTGTGTACGCCTGTAGCTAGAAGGTACTAGGTCCTGCCCATGTGGTAGAGATTCAACTTCCTCCTGCCTCTTCTTCCTACCATTCCCTTCTCTTCTTCCTTCTCATGTTTCTTTCTCAATTCTGCTGTCACTGGGGTAAGAAGTTCAGGGTACAGGATGCAGTTAGGAAGCATCTCCCACCACTACATGTGTCTGACTGCTTCCATTTCATGTCCGTCTATGAGCTTGGGAGGGGAGGCTTGAACATCTTCATTCAGCAGTCCTTGCTTCCATTCCAGAAGAACCTCCACTGGTATTAGTAGAACAGGACCGTTGAGTTGCATGCTTCTGAAGTCCAATAGGTAATTGACCAAAACACGCTTCGCACCAAACGGCACTGTGGTTCCATCTGTGCTGGGCCTGCTGATAACTGTGCACCTCTCTCCTAACTGGGAGCTGCCCAGGGTGCTGCAGCAGTTGCTCCCCTAGAAAATCAAAAAACTGGAAAAGAATTCAGACACCCCCCCTGCCCCGGAATCTGGGATACCTCCTGTGTGTGGAGAACAGCAAGAGCTGGCCAGAACTTCCCTGTTGCCTGGCTCCAGCCTGGAACACACCACTGGAATAACCTTGCTGCATCAGTGTTCCACCAGTATTGCACTAGACCCTTGGCTACCCAGCTTGGAGTGATTGTGGCCTTGATCTTGCTACCAGCATGCTGCTTGGGAGCTCTGTGCTGAATAAAGCTATACACACTCATAGTCTCTGGGGGACAAATTTAGAAGCAAATGCAAATAGAACATTCTATATATTCACTGTCATCTGTCATCCCAGTCCCTTCCATGTGCCATCTGTTGTCTGAGGTTGCTGAGCCTGACAAAGTGAGGTGAGAGGAGGTAAAGGTTCCCTGTCTGAATTTAAAGCCCCATCAATGACTTCCTGAGCTGTATGTGCATTGGCAGCCATGCTTCTCTCATGGCTGCTGCTGAAAGCCGGCATCCAGGGCTTTGCTACCGTGTAGTTACCAGCAGCGCAGAGAGCAGCCTTGTGCTTGTGTCCTGTCTGAGGCTCCTTTCAGTGAGAAAGTTTCTGCTGAACAAATACAAAGGCTGACCTTATAGCTGTGGAGCAGATATGTTGGTGCTACCATTTACCATACCATATTCAGGGTTTCATGTTTTTATATCTGAGATGTGATTCTCATGAGTGCATAAACATGATTATTTTTAAGATGCCTCTTTTATTTTCTGTTGCCTTTTTTTAACCTGTGTCCCTACAGTTGGTAATTGGAACCAATGTAAACTGTTCCCTTTTCAGTTTGAGTAATACATCATTTCACCTTGAAGAGCAGGGTGAACTTCACTTTTGGGGTCTCCTCTGACTGAATGAGATTTACGGCTCTCCATTCTTGGAGCACGTACTTCTTGTTTTGGGGGAGGAGTACAGGAATGTAGATCGGCTGTGGCCTTTGTACACCAATTCACTGTATTGATATTGGTCATGTGTGCCTTGGCATTATGTATGACATCCATTGCTGGGAAGAGCAGCTATCTTTCTGCTCTGCATTTCTCATCATTTTCCACCCTCGGTATTTTTTTCCATCAGTCATTCCTGCTTCTCCTTTTTTCATCTTCTTTTTACCAACAGTATTTTCCTCTCCTGTTTCACTGCTGATATAAACTGTGAAACAATGAACACTGACATTTAAACTACTGCTAATAAGGACTGAGTTGCCAGCAAAGTCAAGAGCATGTGGAGAGCTTTCGTTGCTCAGAGTTGTTGTTTCAGGCTGTCTGCAAACTCAGGATAGTTACACTGAGCTGGCTTATTTGGGAGGAGATTTTTGCCACTATCAGCTCCTGAAATATCCTTTTGTTCTAGAAAGAAAAGCTGAATCCTGAGCATTCTGAACATATGCCATAAAGACCATGAGAGCACAACCATGCGAGCTGCATTGGGCCTGTATGTCAGAATACCAAGAAGTAAAAGGTATAGGTGATGTTTCTCACAAAAGGTATAAAGAAGAGGAAGTACAGAAAGGGTAGTACTGTTCCTGCAGAGATGTGAGAGGCACCAGCACTGAGGGTAAACACAGGTGCTTAGTGCTGTTGCTCCAGCAATCAGATGTAGATGCATCCAGGTCATGGGGAGGATGTGAACTGGGTGCTGTTGTCTGACTGCTGTGAGCTCTATGTCTGGACTGAGTGACTGAAAGCATTTTCAGTGCTACAGGCTGTATACTTGGGACCTCAGCCATCAGCTAAAGGTGCTGCCTTCCTCTCTGTCCCTGAGCTAAACCACACAAGGCTAATTCAACAAATTACTTCATCTTAACCCAAGGACACACCCCGAGCTCTGGGGAATTGTGCTAGTTTCTGTCCCTTTCTTACAATGTAGCAGCAAGCTGGTATTCTACCTTATTTTTAATTTTCCTTGTTTTAAACGTCATCCCAAGCAGCTTGAACACAGTTGCTTTGTTTTGTTTTTCTTTCTTTTCTTTTTCTTTGCTAAAGGGAATTGAAGTGAAACCACACCATTCACAGAGAGCAGCCACGGTAGCAACGGTGGGTTGTCAGGCTCAGACGAGGAGATGCCAGAATAAGTTCAGCAATGACATGATGTTCATTAGCCACAAGAGATGGAGGAGGAAAATGAAGGACTTGTTTCAAAGGGATACCTTTGCTACTAGTGACTGGAGGGAGGGCTGACCTCCAATTTCCAGGCGCAAGGAAATGCCAGCTGCAAAAAATGGTTCTTGTTCAGAATACACCAAAATTACTCTCTTCTGCCTAGTTATTTGCTACTAAGAGATTCTGCTTTGAACATGCTCCCAATTTCAGCACCTCAGGAATTCACAAAGAGCAACCATTTCCAGTGATTCTTTTATTTAGGAACTTTTCTGGGTGCTTTACAATTTGTAAAGGGCCTGACTATTATCACTGAGCTTTTTGTTCTCTGAAGTGAAGCAATCAGCATTTTTATATCGTAAAGCACAAGCTGAGTGCTTGGCAAAATGCAAGCATACAAGATGCTGGATGTTGAAAGGAGGCAGAGTCTCCCAGTTAGAAGTGGGACTTGTATATTTTAGGAATTCAGACTTGCTCAGTCAATCTGAGGGTAGACAATACTGTCTGCCTCAGATTCCCCTCTCCAGTGTGGGAAGAATACCATTTTGTCTATCTAAAGAAGGAACATTTCAACTGAAAAATACCTTGCTTTGTGCTTGTATGGCATCTTATGTAACAGGACTGGGCTGCTGAGTGGTGCTATGCCAATGCCAGTGGGTATCACCAGTCTTTTCCTGGTCAGTCCTTTACTCCAAGTTGTAGGCGATCAGGAGCTGCTTGTTCTCGGATGAGTTACGGTAAGGATGTCTAAGAACCCTGGGAGCCTCCAGGGAGATGTAGTTCACAGTGACAATTCCTGGCATTGTTTTTTAGACTGCATTTTTGAAGGATATGCAGTGCTGCCTTACAGTGAGCAAACAAAACACAATTCATCTTTGTTCTGAAAAAGTGACTTGAATTGGATGTCCAGAACCAGGGCTGTGTTACCAGCAAAGCTGTGTGAATTGCAGTGACCAGCAAGTACATGCTGGATCTGAGTACCATCCCTGACCACTTAGCATGCTACAAATAAAATTTGAGTGCTACTGCTGCTTTGTCAAGCTTTACACAGATGCAGTTAGACTTACATCTGTCAAGGGTTGATAGTTACCAACAAGCTGATCTTAAAGAGATAAAGAGATAAGCTGCTTTGTTGAGGAAGCTAGACTCTGCCACAGCCCTGATTTCAGTAAGTTGCTCAAATTTTTGAAGCTTCTAACAAGGTTCGGTGCTGCTGCTGAAGGACATTATATTTGTCTGCTTCACATTTAAACCTGGATTTTACTATTAGTTTGTTCAGTAAGAGAATACATGCATTTAAAATGTACTCAGCTAGCACAGCTCTAGCAATTAGCAGCCAAAAAAAAGGTACTAATTTGATGCAGCCATTAAGCCCTCCACACTTGAGTACTTCATTGGTCCAACTGTTGAAAAGTGCTGTGAAATGCCAGCTCCCAGCACTAGCAGGGCATGAAGTGAATGCTGGCAGCCTGGAGCAAACGGCCTTGTAGGCTTTAGAGCAGTCCACCCCTCTTTAATTCAATACCCTCAACAGAAGATCAGTACAAGAGCAAAACTTCAAAATGCCAGTGTCCATCAAAGCTTCTGTCTGCCCTTCGGACATGCATGGAGGAATAGGCGGCCAGAAAGATTGGATAGAAAAGAGGAGATGCCAGGAGCTAAATGCAGCCTTGCTGTCTTTCACCTTCATAGCATGTCCTGAGGAATGGGAAGCCTGCCTGTCTGTGTGATACCAAAGGCCCATGGGGCTGCACTGTCTGCTTTTTGGACAGTGGTATCCAAGATCTAAGTTTCTTCTGATAATTACAACACCTTCCTGCCCTCTCTTCCCCTTAACCCTACTGGAATGGATAGTGGGCATGCTGAAGAACTGGGCAGGCTGCTGCTCTTAAACTGGTGATGCTGGCACAAACCAACTTTGGTCCCATCGACAAGGAGAAAATGGGATTGGGCTTCATATGCCTGAACCATTAGCATTCCTCATGTCACTGCCTCACCAGCCCAAATCTTTTGCAAAGCCTCATTTGTATCGTTTTGAATATACTGGCAAATGAGGGCTTTAAGGATGATTTGTTTTTCCTTTCTGGTTTCAGGTCCTCAAAGCTGCTGCGTGCATTCTACATCCCTCTCCTCTCAGAACAGTACACATGGTACGCAAACTATACTATTCTGAAATCCCGGAGGTCGAAGCAAACCAGGAAAAAAATGGGAGGCTAGCAACACACCTGGGCAACAAAACCAAAGGCATCTGCTGACACTCTTGGACAGCTGCCTAAGCCGTCTTCAGTTCACTTTTTGAAAGATTGCGTGTGTAAGATTCACTAATAAAGATTTCCCATGAAGTGATTTCACTCTGCAAGCTTCCAGCTGTAAAAAGGGTGCATCAGTTCTCAGTGTCAGGTCTCTGCTCTGCCTACACAGAACATATTGATAAGAAACCATTTGAAAATCCAACAACCACCTACAAATGTATTATCCCTGCTGCTCCCTGTGTTATTATCTATTACATGAGAGAAGAGAAAAATGGGAAGTAAAAAGGAATGACAATATGAGGTTCTGCTCCAGATTGCAATCTGGCATTGGGAAAATCGAGCTCAGCCTCTCTCTTTCTCTCTCCTGCCCACTCCACCCCATCGTCATCCGCTTAAGTAGTGCTTGCCTTCTCTAACAGAATTTCAGGTAACAACATTTAGGGTTTTTTGTTTTAAGAAAAAGGAAGGGGAAAAGAGGAAAACACCTGAGAGACAATTAACTGAAATGCACTGAATCTGAAGGAATGAAGTAGTGTGCATCACAGAGAAACAGCCTAAAGTTGCTCTGTCCAGGAGGCACTTTAAAGGATAAACCTGTGCTTTTGGGAGAAAAAACCCCAAACTTAGAAGTTGATCCAATTATCTGTTTTTATGAGGTCAGAGTGTGTTTGTTATCTGTGAAACCAAGGGTTTGTTTGCTATTTATAATAATTTTTTAAAGATACCTGTAACATCCTTTGAATTCTAGACTACAGCATCTTAAAATTTCTGGAAACATCCAGAGAGGAGAAGAAGGATTAATTATTTTGCAGTTCAGTTTCCCAGAATAGACAGTATGTGTTACGTTGATCCAATACGCTTCAGAGCGGTGCTGTGTTTTATTGTATCTCCATTTTTAAAACTTGCAGTATCACAAGCTAGATGAAGGGACTTGTTTTCACTCACATCCTTGGAACTCTGTGGGGATGGGATGGCATGAGATGGAGCAGAGAGGAAGTTCCTTTTGCAAAAAGGCTGCACAAACTCCATGCCCCACTGTGATTAGATTGATCTCTGTGTGCAGTTACAGTGTCAGACCAGGTGGATCAGGAAGCAGATTTGTATGTTTGGAAGCTGTTGGGATCCACAGAAAAGCACGTGCCTCTGAGGATACATGTATTGGTCCAGGTGCAGAATGCAGTGCTAGGCAAGTCTCTCGGCCAATCTGCAGGTTAACAGCTGAGCAGGATGGGAAGGGGAGGCTGTACCAACGGGGCTGTGATCTAACATGATAGTACTGGGACAAAGCAGGAGGAACTGGATGAGGAGCAAGGCATGGGCTGAATCATCAGAGCAACTTTAGAAACATAGGGAGAGGTATTCTGAATCCCCTGCATTTCATTAAGGAGGAGTTCTTTTAACAGCATTGCGCTCTATTGGAAACACAGCTTGTAAAGTGCAAAACATGGTAAGAGCAAATGGTGCGCTGCTTTGTTGTCTGGATGATTACAGCATGGAGAATGCGGTTCTCTTCCATTGCACCCCCAGTGTATGGAGGAACAGTTTGAAGCTGAGACTCTAAATTCAGGCTTTGAAGGCTTAGGGAACCATCTGTGTTGTCTAAGTCTTGGCTCTCTTTAGAGAGATGGATTTCACCCTGTGCAAATATCACCTTTCATAAGAGTCAAATGTGGAACATCAAGGTTTTCAGCCAAGCAACTGGCGTTGGGTGAGTTGGTCTGGAAGGTCAGAGTCACGGTGCAGATCAACATTGTAGTGTCTGTGTTCATAGTATTCCACCACCTCCCTCCAGCTGGCTCTACCCCTCATAAAAGTTTAAATGTGTTGAACAAGGTTCTACAATGCCAGTAAATCAAAACCAAAACTCTTGCCCTGCTTGTTGCCTCTCCCCTTGCTAATCCCTTACCTTTAATCAAATAAACAAACAAATGCAGTTAAAGAACCAATTGCACACTTCTCTGGTACTGTTTGTGTGACTGTTTCATGTCGTTATAGCCTGTAACCTCATGTTTAATGTGAAAAGACAGTACAGTAAATACCCATTTTAAATGGCTGTGGCCGCTCCACCTTCCTCTTCCAGTTTGATTCCTGGTTTGGGGGGGGTGGTGGTAAACTGATGACAATAATTAGGAGTTATCAATGTTTTCCAGAGGAATGCGGCAAAAGTTTGGTTCCTGGTAGTAAACGCAGGTGCGGCTACAGGTGGTGGACAGCTGGACAGCTTTGCATTCCAGAGTTTCAAATCAAGGCAGGGACTCCATTTTGCTGCTTACCATGCAAACAGGTGGAAGTCAGTCCTGCCACCTGGAGAATTTGCAGGCTAAAGAGGTGAGGCAGAGAAAGGGAGGATTGTTATCGATGACAAGAGTAGATCACATTTTAATGCTGATTTCAAGGGGAAGTTGAGAGTCTTAGTTCTGCAAAGATCTTGACCCAGCAACTCATTTAAGGTCACACGTGGAGTCTGCCTAGAAGTTGTTTCTCATCTAGTGCCTTTGGCCTTCCTGGCAGCAGGCAAAGGAGCCAGGGCCTCTCTTCCTTTAGTCCCTGCTAATGCATAATTGTTGTCATGGGTAGTGCCTCTGGGCAGCCAGAACGTAGCATAGAGGCAATCTATCGATCTCAGCTGAGACCACTGCAAATGAGAAGGTAAAGTTGCTGCTAATAGTGTTTCTATCATAAAGGCTGAGCCATGGGTGAGATTTCTGATAGGAAATGCTAAGGCTCCCCTTATCTTTTCATAATTTCCAAGTCAGGACTGTTGCACTCTGTGCAGTGCTAAGATTAAGCAAAAAGCCTTCAATAACAAGAAGATTACTGGTAAATAAACAGGCTTGGTGGCATGAGCAGTACAAGTCCAAGGAGTATGTGCACTGGGGCCTGAGGAAGAAACTGCAAGAATTGCCTACCTGGCTTCGGTTTAGCTGGATGAAGAATCTTGCTTTTTGGATGTGGATGTGGATGTGGATGTGGATGCAAAGAGGTTTGCTCCAAAAGGTGGAGCTGCATCCAAAACAAAACATTTTTAAAGGCATTTTGTAGTTTGCTTTTCCGGTTTTGTTAGCAAGCTTGAGGGAGGAGCTTGTGGTTTTTTTTCTTTTCCTTTTGCTTTGATCCTAATTAAAGCAAATGTATGACCTCGTTGTGAGGAGGCAGGTTTGGGACAGCTAATTTATGATCTCTATTAAAAAAATAAATAAAGTCTTGTGGTTTGTGAGCTTGTGGGTAAAGGGTCAAACCACAGATTGCTGATCTGCCTCAGCTGGATTTCCTGCTTAGAGTTGCCTCCAGCAGAGAGGGTTGTTGTGACCGAACCTGTTGGGTAGCACATCAGGATTGTGTAGGCAATTCACCTTTGTCTCCTTTCCGTCTTTGGAGAAAGGGCTCTTCCTATTATTCTGGCTGGTTCTGGAAAAGAAGGTATCTAGATGGCTTTCTACAGTGCTGCTAGTGTCTGACCTGACACACTGACAGAAGCTGGTTTCTTGACAGAACCACAGATGGGCACAAGCTTGTGGTCATGACTGTGGCTAGGTCAGGTATCTCTCATGAAGCTGAGATGGCGCAAGGCACTCGCGGTTGGTGGGAGAATGTACAGGGGTTACAGTATTCCTGTCCTCCTCTTTGCTGGCAGTATTTCTCCACCTTTAAACTGAGGCTGAGAGCACTGCAGGTGAAGTACTGTGGCCCAGTAAATTTCATCTTGTCTGAGCTCATCCAGTCTTTGCAACAAGGAGCACTGAGGTGGAGAGTCCCTGAGGAAGCGCCAGCAATGAGACAGACTGACACTCTCAGAAATAGGCTGAGGGAAGTCACGATTTCCACAGAACTATTTTTTTCCTGCTTGTCTGCTGCAGCAGGATTTAAGGTCCATTTCACTTTTGCTCCTGCTTTTTCTGCCTGTTCCTGGGGTTCAGCTGCAACCTGCTCCAAAGGCAGGCGTATGTGTAAGCTGATCATCTCCACTTAGGGCCCTGCCTGGGCTTGGGGGCACGTCAGAAGAGCGCTGCTGCACTCGAACGCGTTCCCAGGGATGTGCCATGCAAATTTGCTCTTTTTTGAAAGGAAAACAAGAAGGACGCTGCGTCTCCACAGAGGTGATACTTACACTTTCCTCGACTCAGATTTTTTTTTTGTCTTCTTTCTGTAGGAAAATTATTTGAAATAATATATGCTCTTAGAAGCCAGGAGCTGAGAGGGTGTGTGAAGAGGTAGGGGCAAAGGACTTGAGGTGTGTGGAGCAGATACCTTGCACGTGAATAACAGTGAATAGAATGTTGAGGGCTGGCTTAGCTGGGAATGCCACAGGCCAGCTTTCAGGTGTGACTGGCAGACCTGCACGGGAGCTGGCTGTTCTAGGACAGATTTATGGTGTATTGGCAGCTGGTCTGTCACATCAGGGCGAAGCTGCTGTTTGACGACTCTTCTCTCCATAGGAATGGGGAAGCACTTTCACTTGCCATGTTGCATTGCAATCTACAGGAGATTTCTATAAAGCAGTGTGGGGGGACGTTATTTCTAAAGCAGACTGCGTCCTCTGAGTGATACTGAAGGGGCTGGACCAAAGTTGAGGCGGTGATGGTCAGTGTCAAATAACAACTGCTGTTTCCTCTCCCCTGCTCCCCTGCCTTGTCTCTAGCAAGCCTAATGCTTAGTTCTTAGTTGTGGCCTTACTGGTAGCAGCTCTTTCCTTGCTACTTGTACTAACCTCAGAAGCAGGGACCATCTTGGTATTTGAGTCCCCCTCACATCCAACAAAAGGTAGCGAGTTAGTAGGTTGTGTATTTATTTTGTTGCTGTAAGAAGGGCTTAAAGTACCAGTGGAGAGAGGCCCTGGTAATGAAATCTGTGGTTTTGACTTCCTAGCTCTGCAGGCACTGCTGGAGGAAAGAGCTATGAATTTCTTTCTCCTCCAGCATCTGTCAGAACCTGAGCATCATTCCAGCCCTGCTGAAATTCAGCTCATCTCCCCGTGAGTAACTGCACATGTCTCTATCCACTTGCCTGGAGAGGTACTAATGAGGCCCCATCTGTCTGCTTTGCAAATCCAGCTGTGTCTGCTAGGCAGCAAAAAAGGCCAGGGTGGATGTGCAGGGTGAGAGAGCAT